TACGGAATTTTTATGATGGATTAAACTGCAAAATCGTTCATGGAGGAGAGTTGACAAACTCCTTCAAAGTAAAGACCGGTGTCAGGCAAGGTTGCTTACTCTCACCCTTTCTCTTTCTCCTGGTGATCAACTGGATCATGAAGACATCAACATCTGAAGAGAAGCACGGGATACAGTGGACAGCTAGGATGCAGTTGGATGATCTAGACTTCGCAGATGATCTGGCTCTTCTACCGCATACGAAACAACAAATGCAGGATAAGACGACCAGTTTAGTAGCAGCCTCAGCAGCTGTAGGTCTCAACATACACAAACGGAAAAGCAAGATTCTCCGATACAACACAGCATGCATCAATCAAATCACAATTGACGGAGAAGATTTGGAAGATGAAAAAGCCTTTACATATCTGAGCAACATCATTGATGAACACGGTGGATCTGATGCAGATGTGAAGGCGCGGGTCGGCAAAGTAAGAGCAACATATTTACAACTGAAGAATATCTGGGACTCAAAACAATTGTTAGCCAACGCCAAAGTCAGAATTTTTAGCACAACGTCAAGATAGGTCTACTGTATGGGGCGGAAACCTGGAGAAATACGAAGTCCATCATCCAGAAGATACAAGTGTTTATTAACAGTTGTCTACACCAAATACCTCAGATCCGCTGACCAGACACTATTAGCAACAACCTACTGTGTGAGAGAACAAACCAGACGCCAGCGGAAGAAGAAATCAGGAAGAAATGATGGAAGTGGATAGGACATACATTGAGGAAAGCACCCAACTGCGTCACAAGACAAGCCCTCATATGGAATCCTCAAGGCCGAAGGAGGAGAGGAAGACCAAATAAATGGAGATAGACATGAAAATAATGGATAAATATTGGATAGAACTAGAGAGGAAGGCCCAGGACGGAGTAGAATGGAGAATGCTGGTCGGTGGCCTATGCTCCATTGAGTAACAAGCATAAATAAGTAAGTGAAATCCGAATTAGATAAGATAGCTTTAATTCACATCGTATCGTATTAAGTACACACGAGAACGTGTAGTGTAAGTAAGCTATGTGCAATAACATTAGGTTAAAGAAATGATAGGAACAAAGTGACCGACAAGGATGTGTTGGAAACGTGTGCAAATAATCAATCTCATGTTCGATATATTCGTTAGATAAAAGTGACTTAAAGAGGTTTTGTGCACTACAGAGCAGAGCGTTGTTTAGGACAGCCTAACTTTGTTTCATAAGGTCGTTTTCCTCCTGACAATTATTCATTTTGTCATTGGGTTTTCTAGAGTCCTGAGAGGGCCCAAAGACAGCTTCGTTAACTAGAACAGGCTAATCTAGTAGAAAATTTGTTGAATATTCACTAAGTCTAACATAGACAGTAACGCGTTTATAGATCAATGACACTTCTGACTAACTTTGAAATGAAGGAAATACGGAAAGTCCAATTAGTTATTTAGTCTTCCCTACTAATAAAACTTTGATCCTAAAGAACCATCATATCACTATATTTTTCACAGAAAAGTTTGAAAGACTGATTCACGCGTGACAGATTCTGGCTCCATAATAAGTGTCTTTAAACTTTAAACCTTTTCACACCCTCCCAGCAAAGGATTTGTCTCTTGGGGTCTAAGCTTGGATGTTAAAGGAGCATTCTTAATTATGGCATGGTACAGCTCTTATCTTGTTCTTCCTGAAACTGAAGGAAATAACAGATAAATCTAGATGTTGTTACTAAATCCGACTGCTAGGTGGGTCAGTCTTCAGTAATAAAGATGGTAGGTTGGTGGACCAGTGTTAATCCTTTAAGTTTGCCTCCCAGTGAAGGTTCAGCTTCTCCATGAAAATGTTCACTGATGAAGCCGATACCAATTGTTCAGGTAGGGCGTTCCAGTCATTAACCACTTGATGAGGTTCATTAGATCGCGGTTTGTGAATCATCTTGGTATGGTCTCGGAGATTATTAATGCTGTAGGGAGCAAAAAGATAAGATATATTAACGCCGAAATTGTGATCAAAAATAAAAAATACCAATATAAGGTCACCTCGCGTTCTACGATATGACAAGGCTTAGGCGTTTTAAGAGCCCGTCGTAAGTGAGTTTGGATTGACCATTCCCTCCTTTTTTCCCACACCATGAACACGCTCAAGTGAGTTAATATCGCTAATCATGCATGAGCCAGTTGCTTAGATACAGAACTCTATTAGCTGTCTTACATAGGCGGTATATAAAGTTCGAAACAGTATGTCAAAGCATTTGAATTCTCAACAAAGTGACCGTAACGAAAGACACCTTTGGCAGCTGCTGCACTGCAATGCGTAGTCTTTATGTTCCTGAGCGCATAGAAAAGTTGTATTGTCAGTAATACACTGGTAAGTGTTGACGTGTCCGATGTCCATGATCACACTCTCTCTAGAATTAAATTTTAAGGCCAAACACCGAGCCCAACTAGGTAGTTCGTCTATGTTAGCATGAAAATCAGAGTGATCAGCTTCCCTTCTCGTTGTTCTCCAGATTTTGACATCATCCGCAAACAACAATCTGCACTACTTAAGCAATGGCAGTAATTCATTGAGGTAGAGAAAGAAAAGTAGGGAACCTAAGACGATGTCTTTGGGCACATCACTTTTGACCGGCATCCCATAAACCCTTACTCTCTGTTTGCGGTCACATAAGTAGTTTCCAATCGATTTCCATGCGGCATCTGTTCTTCCAAAGCTCGACAGCTTCTGCATAAGCCCTAAGTGGGAAAACTTGTCCAACGCTTTGTTAAAGCCTGTGAATATCACATTGACGGGCAGACAGTTTTCTAGGGCTGCTGTCCAATCATCTCTTGTAATATATGTTCAAGAATGAATGCTTGTCTTGAAACCTGTGTTGCTCGGGAGTTAACAGATTATATGATTCTATGTGACCCAGTAACTTAAACCGAATTATCTTTCCAAGTATTTTGATGACTATGCTAGTTAGACCGACAAGTTGGTAGTTAGATATGATTTGTCTCTAACCATCTTTAAATACAGGATTGACTATAGCATCTTTCCAATCTCTAGGGAGTTGAGTGTGGGAAAGAGACATGTTGAAGATCGTTTCGAGTGGTCTTGAAATCCTATCCGTGAGAGATGACAGCATCTTACAAGGTTTGAAGTTAGTGATCAATCGGAAAACAGTTTTCTCAGTCACACGTACAGGTCCTATGACTGGTATCTCAGCAGTGTGATTAGGACAAGTATTTGTAACAATACACCCATAGTAGACTTCGCTAAAATACTTTGAAAAAGTTTCGGCCTTCACCAGATCTGATTCGGCTAGTAAACCTGAATTGTTGTGTAACACGAAGAGGGATACTATCACTATGTTTTGTTCTCCATTTAACATGAGAAAACAATGGTTTTGGGTCGCTAATAAGAAATAGGAACAGAAGTAACTCAATTATTTAGCCATGTCATTTCGATCTTCTCCAGGTGTTACATGTTGAATATGGTTAGAAACCAATACCACTACACAACTCTCCTGTTAGAATCAACATGACGTTGGTTCGGTGCCAAATCAAATGAGATTATTGCGCGCCGCAATTACCAAGGAAATAATAAAAATCCTCTGGATATTGATAAATTGAAAGGTCAATCAAATGTGAAGCAGCAGCAACTGATCAGGAAATACATATAGTAGTTTTAAAATGTTTGGTTTTATTCTTAACATGCTCAAAATGAAGATCAGCGTAAAAATTGTTCAGAAGCATGGTATATTTGCACATCTATTTAAAAATGTGAGTCAAATTCATCCTAAGGCAGAAGGTTGATGTGCTTTCGAGCATGTCGGAATCGCTTTGATTATGCTAGTTTCAAACACCATGATGCTTAGATTACGGGTGAAGAGGACAGAACTGTCAGTGAACAGAGATACAACGGATTGGCGGTAATTGGGTTGGAATTCTCCAATCAGAGGCATAAAAATATCGTTGTGAGAACTGTATACCACGAGGTAATCTTAATCTAATATTTACTATATTATGTGCCTATTTCTTAGCGACGTTATGCAAAGGTTTACTGTTGCTTATAGTAGACTTCATCAATCTGGGATGACAAATTATTCTATTATATCTGCTTATCAGCATATATCTATTGCATAAAGATTTATCACAGGACCAGTAGTCTTTGACATTGCTTCAAACAACACTATTTTCTGATGATTTCTCAGGTACTAGACCTTAAACTGAGGGGATCTGAGGGGTTTAGCATGTGACCGACACAGTAAAGTGTGTTGATCAATGGATTGAAGTTGCTTGTCCTTAAGGAAATTCCATTATTCGACAATGCCGACGAAGTTATGTCCGATCTAACAAGATAGCCTTTTGATGTCTGCCCTAACAGCATCGCATTCATTTGCAAACAAGTTCTAACGAGAGGCAAGTTCGACGGGCAGTACATGTATGGAGAAAGCGAGTGATAAGAAAGTACAATCACTTCGTCAAAGGGAATACAATTTTACAACCTCAGGAACTTCCGCTGATTGGTGGTTACATATAAATATTCATTAAGGTGTTACTACAGAATTTTAGGGTATCTATGACTGTAACTTATTCAAGTAAGGTCCTACAGTGTCGACTCCATTGAAGCTAAGGATCAATTTACAAATCTTCACAAACCTGCTTCTAGCTAAAGGCACAATGTATGACCTCAGATATATGCATCAGGTGAGGTCAACACGACAAATGTGGAAATGTTCACTGATTACTCAAAATACGCATTCAAACTGTCTTATACTAGGAAGTATTAAATCTTTATATTTCCACAATCTGGAGCTATTAGTACAGACAGTTTGTGCTTCTACTCTGCCTGCTAAGGACCATGTCTTTGTTTCAGTAAACCCGTAGATTGAATATAATCAGTTCGCGCCAAACCATCTTGTGGACGGGTGACATCCGGCGTACATAGCCATATTTTGTTGCGTGTTTCATTAGTGAACTCTAGTTAACTTGTTATTGTTTTGAAATATGGCATGTGCTACACTTAAACGAACCAATAACTTTGACATCATGGAAGCCACTTGTTCTAAAAGAAGGCGATACCAAGCTTTAACTCGGAACTGCAACACAGAAGCAGCAGCGTCAGAATCCCCATTCATCCCGAAGGAGTTATCAACCCAAAGTACGTTGCCTGTTAAGTGTTTGGGTGTCACATCTTAAACAATATACAAACATCGTTATACTAATAGTATGGATAAGTAAATCAATTCACTGTTTATATAAATCGAATTGGCCAGTGTCCGGTGTTGTTAAGTATCTTTCTATTCGGTATTGGTCATGAACCGAACTAATGTCCAAAATGTCTGGGTCGGTAGAGTTGACTAGTTCTTGTGTAGTATGTACTTTGTGTACTCACACCACTTTTCAAGTGTCAGCACCGGGTCGCTTATCATTTCAGTCAATGTGCAAATAAAGGTCAAAACGTAAGGTACGGTTTCATCATTGTAAGCTCTGTAAAAAACTCCGACTTATTAACCCAGCTTTTTGTTTCCTTCATCTAATGACAAAGGTAATTGTTTACTTTGTCTAGGGTCCAGGGCTTAGTGTGTGCCAAGAACTGGTTCAGGTTTCACTTGCCGTTACCTGCCCAATTAAAGAGGAATGGAAGGGTAGCACTACTTAATAGGTTAACTTCATGATACCTAGAGAGTTGACTTCTGATTCATGAGTTGAGTGACATCCGGGCTTGTGTATATGAGCTGAATGTAAGTTACTGTAGTTCACAAAAAGAACATACTACATGTATTTATTTGACTAAGGCTTTCAAGCCTTTTGTGTTGATAAACGTTTAAATTAGACTTGAAGAAGAAAAGTAAACTGTAGTTCTGGTCATGGGTGTGTTGAGTATATCTTTACCCTTCGACAAGTTCGAGAGACTGACTCCAGATTGTAATCATTTTTCTTGACCGAATGGCCTCGTCGAACTACATCAGTGGAGGGAGTCTTCGGAAGTTCTCATCACTGAGGGGGTGTATTAGTAAAGTCCGTAAACCTAAAGATTTACTCAAACACTAGTGCTCGAATTAAGGCATACTGAGGACTCGTCAGTATCACCAACTTCGAATGGTATCTGTCAGGATGCATTTTATTTAATTTCTCCCTAAGTTGTCTTCCAGAAAACTACTCAAACTAATTATGACTGACCTATCAGCAAATATTTGTGCATTTTAACTCTTGCACTAATTTCTGTCTCTGATGTCTTATGTTCGGTTCTGTAGCTCAATTAAAACGGCGCATCAAGGAGGAAATTAAACGTCTACAACGACGTCGTTTGATACCACGATTTCTTGGAAGTCCCACCCCGACAATAACTACGACATTCGCCGGTCATGTAAAAGATGAAAACGTGGGTGAGTTGTTACTCTAGTCTATGGAATCATTTCAATCCATATGTATATAATTGCAGCCGTCTAATTACTGAAATCAAGGTCTTTTTGTTCTAATACGCCTGCACATGGATTAAAACAGATAATTACGTGTACTAGGTTTAGTCATTCTGTGTATTACTACAAATTGTTCATAATCCAGTTGGTATTTTACTCAAATAATATGTGACTGGTTGTTTCACAGTGTTTACAAAATTAAGAAGATGAAAAGCGAATGTCCAACCCCTTAACGGTGTTGTTAGTTAGGAAGGATCCACATAGGGGGGTTGAAAAACCTTGGTTCCAAACCAGCGGTGCAAATGGGCTCCAGCATCTTGAACGAACAAAAGACGGATAAACCAATTATTAGTGACCGGCTACTATGAGACTGCATCTCCCAACGTCTCCTTACTGTTTTGTGGATCAGGTTGAAAGGCTCAAGGTGTGGCCCCCTAAGTAAAACATCTGCTTCGGTTTGGGTGTCCAGGCAGTATCCCAGCCCTCAAAGAAATCGAAAATTTGTGTGGCGCATATGTATTTGATGCCGCCTTATACCGATGTTGATGTTTAAATAAATGTTTTTGTGATGGTGGAGATTTGCTGCTCAGGTGGATGCTTTTGTTGGAGTTTTCTCTGAGCTGGATGATTTGGTCGACCAGCTCTGAGAACAAAACTCCGTCGAATCATAAATGTTCCACAGTCAGTATGAGTTTAGAACTTGGTCTATTTACTTAGTTTCAGTCTCTGAATTTTCTCTTATAATCTACGAGTTAGTCAATGGCCCGACCGTGACGTGGTGGTCGGGCTTGCCTATCGTGATGACCCAACCGAGCTATATTGGCTGGATCATATGTTCCTGCAGGTTCTACCATGTCAGGCAGGTCAATTGGAGAACGGTAAGACTAAAAGCAGCAACTCAAGGTCTGAGGGCGAAGTCGTACTACTGACTGTACAGAGGTGTGATAGCAGTAAGGTGTTTCCATCGGACAACCAGCATCTGAAGCGATGCTGCTTTCTCACAAGGAAGGAAGGGGTTAGAAAAGGATGACCCTAAAAATGTCACACCTCACCTTACCCCACGGATTTCCGTCTCCAGCGGTAAGGCCCTTTGAAGAACGGAGCTAACACATTAAAAACCTCCCACAAAAAGGCCGTGCGCGACCGGCCTAGAGCAGTTGTCCCTTGGGCTCTGCCGGTCACACTCCCAGGTCTTCAAGACCAACACTAATCCGATTTCCTTTTCAGATTCCTCAAGAAATGCCCTTTCACGGTGTGGGCAGCCGGGAAGTGACATCAGCCCTCATACCCGTAACGGCACACGAGACCAAGTTGGTCACATTCAAATCTTTCCTACACCTAATAACTCTCTTATCTCCACGACTAACCCTTCTCACGTCCCTTTATCACCTCGCCCCACTAGTGCGAACGATTCGAGTACGCGGAACGTTATTCCTGGTCTCCTGAAACCACGCTCCAAACTACACGTTAAAGCTTTAAAAGTCCGAGCACTGTGCCAAATAGGATAACAGGATTCCTTAGCTAGGACTTTAGAATCTCACTCCATCGATGTGTGCTGCGTTTCCGAATCGCGCACACTAGATCCGAGTAGTGTCATTCATTTGACCTCACCATGCCAAAGTAACGAACCAACTCGATTTACGCTTCGTGTATCTGGAAGCCCTGATGCTGCTTCCCGTGGCCTCGCTGGCTTAGGTATAGCATTGAGTCCTAGGGCGGAACTAGCTCTCTTAGACTGGATTCCGGTAGGCAGTCGTTTGTGCACTGTCCGACTAAACGGAACAGTAAGGACTCGAAAAGATAGGGACACTCGTCGTTGCCTCTTCGTCGTCTCTGCCTACTCTCCCACTAACTGCAGCTCAGATAATGTAAAAGATGAGTTTTACAGGAAGCTTTCCGACCTTCTCCGAAAAGCTAGGCGCTCTGATGTAGTAATAGTGGCTGGTAAACTAAGCGAAAAGGAAAGACACCTGGGTGGATCTTATGGTGTCGCGGTTCAAAGAACAGATAACGGCGACCGTCTGTTTCAGCTATGCTCAGATAACCGCCTGTTTCTTGCAAACACTAACTTTAAGCATAAGGAAAAACATCTTTTAACATGGCGACCCCCTAATTCGTCTCAACGCTGGACCCAAATAGATCACATCGCTACCAGCCACCGATGGAGGGGCTCGATAGAAGACTGTCGCTCATTCTGGAGCACATGCTTAGACTCAGATCATGCTCTAGTGCGAGCGCGTATTTGTCTACTCCTTACTGGACGTAGGAAAGATGGTGCAAGGAAACCCCTTAGGGTCCTACTTAATGATAGTCAAGCTAAGAGTATATTTCAGGAACAACTAGAAAAACAGTTAGGCAGCTATGTAACTGATGCCCACCACGAGGCAGCGTGGAATGACATCCAAAAGGCTGTAGAAACAGCAGTGATGTCTGCAAGTACGGTAAACCATAAGTTAAGGAGAAACACTGGATCTCAGCAGCGTCTACCGCACTGATAGATGCTCGTAAACTCATTCCATCTAGCTCTGAACATAACGAAGAGCGGAGTCAGCTTAAGTGTAATCTGACTAGAAGCTTACTCAATGATTGTGAACAGTGGTGGGTAGCGAAAGCAAGAGAGATGGAAAAGGCAGCGGCAATAGATAACAGCAGACAACTGTTCAGACTTGTTAAGGAAACCGGTATTAGGAACCCAACTGTTAGCGAAACAATCTCAGAGAAAGATGGACATATTATTCATTCTCAATCCAGGAGATTGGATCGATGGGCAGAACACTTTAGGGATCAGTTCAACTGGCCTTCAGCCACACTTCGGTTTCCCACGATCTCCAATCTACCAGAATGGCAAGTAAATGTAAGTCCTCCGAGTCTTTACGAAGTTGAAAAAGCTATGGGAAATTTGAAGCGTGGTAGAGCAGCAGGCCCTGAAAGGTCTGTTTCTGAGATTTTTAAGGACGGCGGTCCAGCATTAACAGCGAGATTGACTGAGGTCTTAGGTAGAATCTGGGAACTGGACGTAATCCCATCTGACTGGTCTCAATCACTGATTGTGCAGTCTATAAGAAAGGACAAAAGTCTTCTTGTGACAATCACGGAGGAATCAGTTTGACTAATATAATGTCTGAAATATTAGCTTCAATAATACTTCGACGTCTAACCAAAGCTCGTGAAGAGCAGACTAAAGAAAACCAGGCTGGTTTTTGACATGAACTAGGTTGTATAGATCAGATATTCACACTACGTCAGATCCTAGAACATAGACACACATTCAGACGCCCCACAGTGGTAGTATTTCTCGACCTTAAGGCGGCATTTGACTCTGTTGACCGTGAGGTTCTATGGCAGTGTTTGTCACTGAAAGGAGTACCAAAGAAGTACATTAACCCTATAAAGGCTCTCTACTCGAACACAACTGGTCGAGTGAGAGCTTATGGTGAACTGTCATCAGAACTGATTACCTCAAGTGGTGTTCGTCAAGGCTGTCCACTCTTTCCATTCTTGTTTAACTTTGTCGTTGACGTCCTTTTAGCGATGACACTTTCCTCATCTAAATTTCTAGGAGTTAAACTTCTACCGAAAGATTCACTTGTTGACATAGTTCGATTTGGTGAAGACGCTGACAAAATGCAGAGTCTGCTGACCACTGTAAGCAACAATGCAGGCATGTTCGGCATGCGATTTTCTCCCTCGAAATGCAAAATTTTGCTTCAGGATTGAGTCGCAACAACACCTGAACTAATGATAGGGAATGAAGTAGTTGAGCGTGTCTACCGCTTCACTTACATGGAAGTCTCATCAGCCCTTGTGATCTGGTGTGTGACGAAATCTCAGCACAGATACAGAAGACTAGACTAGCTTTTGCCAACTTGCGTCATTTGTGGCGTAGGTGAGATATCTGTCTATCAAACAAAGGACGTGCTTACTGCTCAGCAGTTCGTTCCGTCCTACTTTATGGCAGTAAAACATGGCCGGTAAGAGTGGAGGATATTCGTAGGTTACTAGTATTTGATCATAGATGTCTTCGAAACATTGTTCGTATATCCTGGGACCACCGGATAAGTAACTGAGTTGTTAGGAAACGGGTACTAGGTGAGGATGGCATGTCACTGACAATTGTACTAAGCCATGGTAAACTACGTGGTTGGGATCCGCTAGACGATCGCAACCGATGTTTAGAGACCTTGAATGACATGGCTCAAAATCGTTTGCAATGGCGCAGGTGCATCCACTCTTTGTGTTCTCCCAAACTCTAATCTTCTGGATTCATGTCCTTAATTTTCTTTCCAAATTTATTCCACTGGATTATACTCCTTAAATAACATGGTCAAACCTTAATGTTCCCTATTACTACTTATACTTTCACTACCTCTACCACTACGGGATTTGAATCGATAACTGAGTCTGTGCTAATGTGATATGGCAATTCGGACTGATGTATGTACGTACGAAGTTGCACGTCGTTACTGACTGACTGGGTATTTGTTGCTTATTAAAACCGGTTCCAAATTTAGTAAATATCCTGATCGTAGTATGAGATTTATCCAACTGATCCAAGATACTTCTACGGAACACTTGAAGCATTCATTTGTCTCATGATCCTTTGGTTAGCAGTTAACACTTTTTACGAACGATTGCTAACCGTTTACTTTAAAAAAACATACATGACTAAGAAATTAAATGTTATGGATAATTGGTTGATGATTTGTTTCACCTTTGTATAGTAGTCATTTCGATAAAGGAGTTATAAATCCCACTAATCGTTTAGGAAATGTCTTAAGAAGTTAGTTTGTAGATATAGTTACAACAAAAATAAATGTATGCATGATCATTCCAAAAAGCTTCGCTATACTGTGTTATACTCTATCCGATGTTGTAGAACTGCTTGAACATTCGTAACATTTGTATTTGTTACCTTTGTAATATTTTGAGGATAGTCATTTTGTGTTTATAGGTTTTGGATGTTTCAGTTACTACTTGATTAAGTTAAATAATCCTTTTCACTTCTAAAACAATGAAGTAGGACTTGTACGTGGCATGCCAAGATACAATTAGTTTTCTATCTTATAAACAAAGTTGTTTCTTATTTCATATACTTTCTTGCATCAGTTGCTTCATGCAGTGGTAGCTTTCGATCAATGGCATTGCGGTCACCTACTTCAGATAGTCAAGACTCAGATAGTGACCAGTCACCTTTGCGTACCAGTGAACCGATATTCCAAACACTTGAGAATGTCTCAGTTGGCTCCTCACAATCATCCTTGAAACCTACACATACCATCGACTCAATGCCGATCTTCACCTTACCCCAGGTTACAGCTCTTTGTGAGCGCTTAATCAAAGAACGAGAAGCAGAGTTACGAGAAGAGTATGACAGTATATTATCTTGTAAACTAGCAGGTTAGTTCACAACGTGGTGATTAGTGTATACTAGTCTTGAATATAAAATCTGTTTTCCAAATTTTCTGTCCGAGCAGACTTACTTTAGGGAAAGTAATAGTTGGTTTTAAATGTTTTTCCTACAAAGGGACTGTGTATCATTTCGTAGTCCAGACACTTCGGTACCAAAAATTTACAGTGAGTATCTAGCTAACTGTCTGTTATAAAGTTGAATTTCATTATTTGCAATGGAGAATGTATACGGATTAGTAAATCAATAAACAGAATGCTCATCAATAGATGAACGTAGTGGTAAGATGTAACTGGGTGATTGGTGATCATAAGACTGGATTATCGATTCAGATTTCCCAATGAATTGATGTTAATGAAGAATAAGTTATTTTTTAAATAGAAGTTTGCTTGTATACGAATTATTGACAGAAGAATGAACAGGATTAAATGTCATGGGAAATCTGTATTGTAGGTCATTTACTTCAATGACAGCTGGGCCTAAGCCCTTCTCACTGTGTAACCATCAGTTCAGTCATCTGGTACCTTCAATATTACACTTCTTGTTGAAGTCGTAGTTAATTCAAGAACATTATTTATTAATGTGCCACATGTTAGTTATGTCCATAACTAACCAATCAGGTCATCGTTTAAGCGCCCACCACGTCAATCTGGTCTGATGTGTCTGTAGACTATCTCTGTTGCATATGACCTGCCAGTTGAAGGACATCATTCTATTATATTAATTTTTATTCATTTCGATGACGCACGCAATATTGGTCGGTATGTTCATGCGTCCCACTCAATGATTATAATCCCTTTAGTTATTGTACAAATCAAATTGTTACTTTTACGTTTAGAAACAGATAAAGTTTATCAAGCCAAATAACCTACTTTTTCTGACTTGGCAAAGCTAAAATTGTGCTCGACAGTTTAGAAAATAGTTAGGAATTACGTATGTAGATAATTACTTTCTACACCAGATAATTTAATATTTTCGATTGCTATAACCATAGACTTTGTTAGCTTGTTCGAATCTGTTTTTATTCTGTTAAGAACTTATGACTTTCAAAGAACAGTATTCTATTAAAAAAATTTCAAATATTAGCGTAGTCGCAACAGACTGTCAAGTCTCAGGCCATCATGTGAATTATCATCGTATCATTACTAGTCTTAAATGCAACATTATCATTCTTTTGATAAGTGTAGTGATTTACACTTTCAATACATTTGCACAACAAACCAATCATTCACAACTCTAGCCTCAATATGACAAGCAAGGCTGCTTGATTGATTTACACTCAAGCTAGTTGATTATTTATTACAAAATTTATTAGACTGATCGATTATCATAGTTAATTTGTGAATATAATGTGTTTTAAAATCAAATAGCTAATTTTATATTGAATAGACTGATACAAACAGGAATTCACTACAAGTTAGTGAACGAGAATCAGTCTGAATTAATTAACGCGGAAAGTTAAGTCGGTAAACGGAATCCATTGCAAATAAAAACGTTATTTTTAAAACTGAATGTCATGTTTCGGGATTCAACATGAGCAACAACTTCATATGCAGATTACTTTGACTAACTAGACCAAAAAATACATTCAAATGCATCCGGATTGCCTTATACAATCGACTTGTGCTACAATAACAATGATATTCGTTTAGCCCAGTCTGTTCTACTAAAATGAAGTTTTGATAGTTTATGTCAACATTATTCTGCCAGTCAACTATTAAACTCCATTACTTGAAAACGTATTTTGCCTAAGCCGTTCTCCACAAAAGTATATGTTTCGTTCGCGGTACATACAACAACAACCAGGCGTAGGTAAAAAGGAACCAAAATCCTTGAAAGGGCAAACGTAAGATTCTTAAAGCAACTAGTTCAACATGGTAAAAACAGAACGTAATTTTTTCAAACCCCAGTTGATCGAATCCTCACTTACATTTCAGAGCAGTATGAAGCATTTCTGAAGTTCAATCATGATCAACTCTACAGTCGATTTCAAAACTCCCCAATGAGTTGTAAGTTTTACATTTGTTCAGAATGATTGCACTCCTTTTAGCTAACTATTAACTAGTTCTCGTTTGAACATTGCCATGTTTCCCATCTAAGTCAAATAAGACTTTCCCATATATTATCCTGAAATTCATGTCTAAGTTCAGTTTGTTAGACAAAGTTTATCAAATTTGCCTTGATGTTATACTATTTGGGAAAGAATCCAAGCAAAGAATCACGCGGGAATTTCGTTTACTGGGTTCGTGAATAAATAGGCTTGGAATTTCACTAAAGCAAACTACAACAATTTCCTTCTTTAGATTCATTAGTGATAACGTCTAAATGTTTATCGTCACTCGGAAGCCCACACTTTTGTTCGGTTTCTATTGATCATCGAATTAAACACCACTAAGACTTCTAAATCATATTTTCTATCCATTCGATTATCTTTTACAAACAAATGTGTTCATAGTGTCATTAGTAACTTTGAAATTCATCATCAAACCCTAATGTTCCTATTTCTACTTATACTTTCATTACCTCTACCACTACGGGATTTAATCGATAACTGCATCTTTGTGCTAGTGTGGTATGGAAACTCGGACTGATGCACATACGTACGAAGTTCCACGTTGTTACTGACTGACTTGAAATGCAGTCACCAAAGTGATCACTTAGACTTTCACAAATTCTAGTCGTCTTGGCAAGAATTTGGAGCATACATAAAAAAGATATGGTTAGTAAATCGAGTTACGAAAAATTGTTGAAACCAATCTTTTTACAAAGATATCCAACAGGATCGTTAAATTTACTTTCATATAAAGATAATACTCATAATCTTCGTGCAAGTCGTTGCTGGAATCTTCATCAGTAAAAACTGAGTTAAATTTAATTTGATTAAACCTTTATTCAAGCAAAGTGTTTTATTCCTTTATAACCCCTTTTTACGGCAAAATATTCCCGAGACTAAGCATCCTTTCTGTCGCAAAGTGAAACCGTTTTCATAATCAGGGACCCAACTCGCAGATAATAATTTAAAAGGTAATGTGTAGTAACACATATAACACCAGTTAATATTTCCAGAATATTTAATTTCTCTTGATTTTATTTCCAGATGTGTCCTGAAAAATGTCACGTAAATCACACGATAGAATTTTCTATCCCCCAAAACTATCTATTGCCTTCCATCTGGTATCGCATTATTGTTGGACTGCTTGAGTTATTCTGAAGATGAACTTTAACCTTATGTTCTTGTTTCTCACGTGCAACCTCAACTGCCTTTTCCCGATCTCTAAGCGTTTGCCAACCAGTGTTTCTTGTGTTTCAAAAATCTATCATAATTGTACTCGTATAGCTAGTACGCGCCATACGTTGCATGTAATGGGAACTGTCAGATCAATGCTCAACTAATTAAACAAAAACATTTAAAGCTCATTTTCTTTGTTCCTAAAGGGTTCAATATATTGTATTTCTATTTTCTGTATCTCTTACTATATATTCTCTGTGATGAACGATTTTGAAGGCCTGTTAACATCCTTAGAAGTTTCATGCCTTTTAAATTAAGTAAACTTGGCAAATAAATGTGATCGTTCTCAGTTATTTTTTTGCTAGTTTAGTATAAAAGAGCTATGGCTCCCAATCCTTTGAGTTTATTAAATATAGTTGTTTAATATGTGCTTTGAAATATTACTAATATTATCCGTAATTATCATATTTTTACAAAGGATATGATATTCGCCTCCTACTTCAGTTTCTGGTACGCTCGCAATTCCAGCAGGACTGGATCACTGTACAGGTGTTGTCACAAAAATCTAAGGGTAGTAAAAGTACGGTGGATGTTTCTTTGATCTGGCCGATAGGAATTAAGCACCCAGAAAAAACGTAATAATATAAAATAGTGAGAACCCGTGGCCAGTGGGGTCTAGACATGTCGGACACGTGAGAGTTATCCACCACATGCAGTGAGAAACTATCGCCAGTTAATTGGTAGCAAGGTTCAAGAGTTGGCGTGTGGAACAGAAAGTGTGCATGTGAACGGTTGAAGATTCCCACACTCGTAATAAACAGCTGACTAACGCCTGTTTATTCTGGTTAGCGTCTCTTTAGCAAGGGCGTATTCTACGGTAAACTTGGAGGAGATGAGTGGAACACTTTGGGGAATGGGACTCGTCACTATACTTCAACTTCCTGGACTATGAGTAGGCGTTTGACAGCGTGCACGGTAGAACCTTCTTGGACAGTGATGTGGGTAGCTGAGAAAATCTTCAACATCATACGGAATCCATGCTACGGACAACACTGCAGAGTCGTGCACAGAGAACAGCTGACAGACTCATTCAAAGTGAGAACCACTCTTCTAGTGGTTGATTGGATTATGAAGACCGACATCTGAGGGAAAGCACGGAATACAATCGACAACTAGACGATTTGAACTCAGATTATCTAGCACTTCTATCCCATACACACGAACAAATAAAGGTCAAGATAACCAGTTTAGCAGCAGTCGATCTCAACATACACAAAAGCAATAACAAGACCCTTAAGTACAACATGGAGAACACCAGCCCTTTCCAACTTAATGGCGAAACTCTGGAATAGATGAACTTTCACGTACCTGGACAACAATGAGGATCTGATGCAGAGATGTAAGGGTGAGGATAGGCATAGAAATAGCGGCATTCTTACATATGAACAAAATACGCAACTCGAAACAACTGTCAACCAATATCAAAGTCAACATCTTCAATGCAGATGTCAAGACAGTTGTTTGGTACGAAGCTGAAAATTGGAGAACAGCAACCATCATCAAAATAGTACAAATATTTCTACGTAAGTTACTGAATGTCTGTTGACCGGATACCGTCAGCAACAGCTCACTGTGGGACAAGGCAAACCAGCTTTCAGTTGAGGAAATTAGAAAAAGACGTTGAATGTGGATAGGACATACATTGCTGAAATCACCAAACTGCATCACGAGGTAAGTGCTAACTTGGAATTCTGAAGAGAAACGGAAAAGTACGAGGCTAAGGGACACTGCGCCGAAAAGTACGAGCAAGCACGGAAAGGATTACTTAGGACATTTCGATGAAGAATGCTGGCTGGCGGCCTATGCTTCTCCATTTTGGGTTACAGTTGGAAGCAAGGGATTCCTCCTGATTTTTAGTGGCAGCCAAGCTCAGATTAACTCCTAAGTTGAAATAGCAATTTTCACTTTTACGACAGTACATGATAGCTCACAAAACCGTAGAATTATGGTACAGTCGCTGTGCCATTGAGTTTTGTTCCTTTGTCTGTAATATCGAACACGGATCTCAGCTAGTCACAACTACTCTACGACCACGATGCACTTAAGAAATTTAAATGTTTGTAAACAAGGCTAAGACGTTTATATTCAATCACAACAATTGATTTTCAAATATTCACCAGAACACAAGCTGCATGTGCATAGGGTAGAGGTTTAAAAGGTCAGCTTTCAGTATATGCACATGTTCGAACAACTTTATTCCGATTTAGTGTTATAGTCACAAGAACATTTTGCGACTAACGAAAGACTAAATACGATAATGAACTAGAAGCACAAATTAGTATTTGCTTGCTATAATCACTCATGCATTTTCAAGTAAATTAGTGCTCTACATGTTAAAACTTCAATTGGGCGAAAACGGATGAAAGCACTTGGGTTAAAGCTTCATTCAGTACTCAATAGTAGAATGTATTTAGCATCTAAAGTGCGTGCTTCATTTTACTCACTGAGTGTTGGAAATGTTAAGTCTTCAAACACTAATTTCTTTCGAATATTATCTTAAGACCAACTTGATGCGAAATGAAATCTGGTTTGTACTAACCCATTCAACATAAAATTAGTCATTTGATTTTAAAATACTTTATTGTATCCACAAATTCACTATGACGATTGGTCAGTCTGATATAATTTGTAATGAACAATAGGTATATAAATGGACTGATGTGAGTTCAAACTATTTCCTCTGATGGTTCTTACCGATACATTTTCCCTATAAGACTTCTATTTACTCTTTGATTTCGCAGAAAATTATTGTTGAAGTGTTGTGTCAGTCGTCTGGTTTATTCAGTTCACATGGATCCCATTCGCACAAAGAGAATCTCCCAATCGTTCAGAATTTAAAAATACAAAACCTTACTTCAAGCCACAACGGTAAGCAAAATAACCATGGTAACTCAAAAATTTTTATAGTAGAAACTGGATTGATAAAAAATTTCAAAACAATGCACAAGGTGAGCATGGAATATAAGAGAAATGTATGGTTTAAATGCGATTTTATGTAAATTTATTTCAACATACGTTCCTACATAAAATCCCAATCATTAATATGAAACTGGAGATCATTGTCATTTTCGGTGTTTGTAGTACCTGGAATGGATTTCTTTGACCAACTAATTTTAACTGCAACATCGATCCACTGACCTAATAACCGATGACATTGTTCAAGAACTATTTTATCTGGTGATATACCAATATTCTGTAATTCTTTCATCTCGAATATTAGTCCCGTCCACCATGCATCATTATTGATACATGATCTAAGATCATCATCAACTAAACTATTAATTAAGCCAATGGCATTATGACCGGTGACAGTTAAAATTAAGCTACCCGATGGATCTTCTAAATGAAGGAAGAATAAAGGAAGAATAGATAAGCTTTGGCATCAAATAAGAAAACAGATGCGTTAACTTACCAAGAACCACACTCGCAAAGTGCTCTGAAAAAGATTTTTAAACAAGGAAAGGTAAATATCTGGGCATTGAAAATCAAAATAGGACATCTACGTACGAGTGCAAAAAATTTTTGCCGTAGTTTGTAAGTATATTGAAGCAAATCATCTGAGCAGACAAGATAAAGAGAATTAGTTGGTATACAGTTACAATGACCTAGGATGAATTTTAGAAAGTATTTTAAAGACAGATTAGGTAAGTCAACGTAAAGCCTGGCACGGATCCGTTGCCATAATATCAGCACGACAGGATGGAATGAACAGGATATTAGTATAAAAGGTCGGAATAGTGTAGCAACAATGACAATAGGACTGAAAAAGATGTAGTGGAAAGGTATGTATGGAGGGATACTAGAATTCAACATTGAGAGGAAGACTAAGAGTGAATACATTTGTGCCACTGTCAACGATTCTGATCCATACCACCCAAAGTCTCCAACCACTGGTCGCGTTAACTCGTGGACCCGACCACATAGTCTAGATTTGCCAGCATGACTCAGATCAAGTTAATTACTTCATGGACTGATGCCACGCTTCTTTTTAGCCTCCTAACTTTCAAAAAAATCCTACGTCGGATAACATTGACCATCGAGGTAATTGGTGGTAAGGTACATGTAACATGTCGTAACTAAACTGATGAAAGTTCATAACCTCGAACGCGATTTCCCAACGTCGTCTAGTACCATATACTTAACTTCAGTAATGATAAATCAACCGTCCTACGAAATGCTAGCAATGCTCCGAAGACACTTATAGCCTACTCATGTCTTCTACTTTTAAGAATAAGTAGTTATAGGAAAAGTAATATAAAACCCCAGTTTTCGTTAATTAGTTACCATGGGAGGATTGTCATGTTCTGACTTTACCAATTCGGATGTCTGAAATCCATCGTTTTATCATTTCATGAATCCACTCTGCTGATTAGCATAAGCAGACACGAAACTCAAATTACTGTTGTTCGTTTCCAAGTACTTAACACCAAACACGAGGTAGTTAAATATTGCTATAAACCACTTTAGTAGTTACTTATGATATTGGAATAAGTAAATTAAAATTAAGGTAACTAACAAGTAATAGGGTTTTCGGTTTTTTACGCTAAGAATAAACTTATGTTGTTATACATTTATCTCACTCGAATGATTGATACCAGAAAAATCAAAAATAGAAAACTTGCATCATCTAGCTAGTTTATTAGTAGACGTTTGGAAAATGGGACTCTGAAAACTAAATTGTTCAGGGTGTTGAAGAAATTGTTTTTTAAGAAATAAGGTATAAAATATCATACTTACTCATCATCATCAGAGATACTGGAACCCCTAATTGAAAAGGAACAATTACTACATGTTAATAGTAAGCAATCTTTTAACGTTTTAACATCCAGTGGAGCAATATCAACTACTCGAGCACATAATCGGGTGTAAACAACATTGAGATCTGATGCGCTGAGTAGCAGATCAGTACAGGTTAGCCAACTGTCAGGAGGAATAGATGGAATAAATTCTGTTTGTACAGGGTATAATAAATCCCAATCACTGAGTTGTCTTTGCTTTTCGTTAACTACTACAGGAATATTGCGTATTTGTGAGATAGTAAGCTGTAAAAAAGAAAAACAACCACATCGAATTTTCACATGAAACACAAAATAGCATAAGTATTGGTTAAAAGCGTTCTGCCTGAAAATATACGTCTAGTAAAAAGAAAGTAGAACGAAGAAAATTCTACGAATTCGTGGTATTGCTCAACCATTTTCCTTTATTTTTGAAAAGTAACTAACATACTCAGCACCGTTGAACTCCACTGGTCATAGCTTCTCACTAGGTCTGCGAAAATTACCTACTAGAAATAAACACTAGTGAGCACATGATAATTACCAGTATAGAGGGTTCGTGGGTGTCTCTGGATTATTTATATAACTGGTATGTGAACTGTCAAAAGAATATGATAACAAGTCAATTTGTTAACCGTCACGTAACAATAAGGAGACGAATATTAAGATTATGGAAGCATACATAATGTATATTGAAAAAAGGCAAAGAATAAAATTTTTGTTTTAACCCGCTTTTGTATAGCCTCTGTTGATGGACAAGGTAGAGAAAGAGGTTTTAAAAGACTTCTTTTGACTACAAAGGTTAAGTTTATGAATTTAGACTAAAATAACCAACAGTAACCACTAAGTCTATCGTCGGAATTGAAGACAATTGTGAGAGGATGTCAATTTACAAGGGCGGAAAACGAATTTCGATTGTTTCTATAACTCCGAATCTTAAATTGTTGGAGCGATGTCTTCAGTGGTATACCGATAGAATATTCAAGACCTCAGGGTCTTGGTTTACTTAGATATACACCATTCAATGCTATGAAACTCAATACGATTGTTCCTTCGGTTTATGTTTTGATGAAAGACAAAAGAAAGAATTCTTATGTGCGCACCTTTAACAAACCGAAAGAAATACACCTGACTTTAAATTCACCAACTGTCATGACTGATTACGAATATTCATCGTTATCAACATTCCGACAAGTATATCCAAAAGAAATCAAAGTATTGCCATATTATTTTGAAAACATCTGGACCAGGAGGATAACAAAATGCAGAGTCCACAGCGATTCAATCTTTAGAATTGTACTATGGAATGTCCAATTTCCGTTATTGAAGACATGCCTAAAACGGATATTGTGATAGAGGGATACCAAAAATGACTTAATCAACTCATTGGGACCGCTTATATGAACATATGATGTTCTAAAAAAGGAAATGAGTTGAGAGTCGAACATTTCTTTGTGAGAATCCAGCAATAACACTTAAAAAGGAAGTGCTTGGAGGTTGCAGAACGTATTAAACTGGTCGTACGAAATTAGAAACAGATCGATGCTAGATTGTTTGCGCGAAGTGGCACGTGATTCGAATTTAAATATTTAGACATATTAAACGATGTTATAAAAAATTAAGAGTGTAAGTAACATATACGTCTATATTACGTTAAGAAACCACCATTTACACGCTCGATCTTATTATATTTGCTCGGTCAATATTTTACTGCCTTATGAAATCCTTCTATGCAAATTTATCGCAATGATGTGGACCCTGTGCAACTTGCCTTTTTGCGAGCACTTAACGAAGGATACTAAATAATCCATTTACAATCTATAAATATGTCGGAATACAACTTAAATATAATGAGTCAGGAACTAAACAAACTTACGGGATACTGTAGCTCATACGGCAAAAGATCACATTTTGGTTTAAGTAGTGGGGGTCTTAAATTTATTCCAGTTTTTAGATTGTCCAAGAGACCATATCTATTTGCTTCGTCTAATATGTTTGCATCGTCTCCCAAAGTGAATAATGTATCGTTCAAATAATTCATTAGTAAACATTTATTACCTAAATGTTTTATCCCACGTCCAAATTTATGACCGTTACCATGTAATCTTAATTGCAAGACGCAAGATTGATCATTTTTCTGCTAAAAAAACAACACTTGAAACAATATAATACTTATAAAAATTATTCTTAAAAATAAGTTTAAAAACCATCCTAGAAAAGATAAAACAAAGCATTTGCATTAATTTTTTCTGTTACTTATTTTAGCTACAATTTTGGATTTATGTTTTTGTCAGAAATTCATTGGTCTATAATTGATCCTTTTTCTATTTTAATACGCTTTTATTGGTATTACTTTCATGAACAGATTAAGTAGATTTATACGCTTATTTCAGAATAATGGAGAAATATAGTTCCTATGGTTGTTTTTAATTATGTTGGTTGAGTTCAGAGAACACAGAAAAACTACATTACACTTAAATTATCAACTTGATGTTTGGTGTATTAAATACATCTTTTAATGACCGTTCGATATATGGAGTTAGCCTGGAATTAAGGAAAGTGATATACTATATTGATGTGTCCTCAAAGTAACTTCCACCTAAACACTTTCATATAAGTATTTTAAACCTATTTTGAAATTATGGTTTTTAAATATCATAGGTTGCAAGCAGCTAACGAAAACCAAAGGAAATAAAATAAATTTATTTTATTTTGCTCAAATCTTTGTTCTTGTTCTCTTCAAGATGATAAAGGGAACTATGTGTATGAAATTTCATGCATGAATATAAATATTATCGTATATTAGAGTAGAGCCTGATGAGGATCTAATTGAAAACAATATTCTTCCCTTATATATTATATATATATTGCTATAATTCACAATGAGTTTTTTTTAATTTTAGTAAAAATAAGAAAATCATCTACTTCTTACGGTACGTCTGTGAATTATCTAATACAAATAGTTAGGACAAGTAGGTATAGTGCGTAAAGCAATAAAAATGAAAGACTCAGCGTCTGATATGCCCTCCGGATCAAAACATTATTACATACGGCTAACGAATAATTAGATGAAAACCGAGTTAACTTCCACCTTATATATAACTTCAGAAATAGTAAAATGATAAGGAAATTTTCTCCACTACTGTTTTAAGTATATTCCTTTTTTGGATGTTCGAGTGATCGAAACTAACGCCGATAGGAAAACACCTGAATCCTATACATTGATCGGTGCTTTGATCAGAATTAAGATTGTATCCAGTAGGTTGTTATTAATGCTGAGTACACAATTCGCTTTTCTGATTTCATCTTTAGGATGGTATGAACTAATCGTTTAGTTCTTAAAATTAAACAGAACACAAAAAATATTAGAGTTGTGGTAAATGCGAATCGCTATAAGTTGTGAAGGTTGAAATAACCGATACTGTAGCTTCTTGTACGACAATGGCAAACTTTAAATAAGAAAGCTGTTATCAAGTGATGTTTGTGAAGGTTTGAATAAGTGAACATGGCGACAGTAATGTAATCTCGTAAGCTATTCTTCATCAGTAAATCCTCATATTTATAAAATGATTCTCAATTATCTGTTTTTATGATATTCCGGCGACCAATTTTTTCGGAAAACAGTTCCCAAGTCATTCCATAACTGTAAATGTCTACGTCGGAATTCATGTTATTCAATGGAAATATTAACTTGTCAACTCGTAGATTGTGAGTAGAGAGAGGACTCAGCCTAAATTATTCAAATTTTTATTGGTGGATATTGTCGTCCTAGATTAATTACCGAAAGATCTGATAGAGAGTAAAATTAGAAGAAACGACTGATGTTGTGATGCGAAAACCTCACAAGTTCTGACGAATGCAAACTGGCTTTATACCATTCTTTCATGACAAGAACAGGATATGTAAACAGATATTTAAGAATGCAGACTAGCTGTCCAATCTTTTAAATATCCATAGTCATATCAACGATCAAGATGTTAGATGACAGACCAAAATCAGTTACAGCGTTGCAGATGCATCTATTGTTCGCTAGAACATACCATGTTGCTTATGTATAGTGCTTTTGACAAACATGTTGATGTTTCAATTATTTTTATACATCTTGTTAATTTTATATCGTTGTGTTGATGTAGTTCGACAACTGGAGCTGAAACTCATTCATCCCTAATCCTAAGGTGTTTTGAATAACTGACTTCCAAACCGTTTACAGTGAACTATGAAGCGAATAGGCCATTAAATGAAAAAGAAACTATTTTCAAAAGAGTAACCGTATCGATGACCACGAATATTATGCATCCAGATTGACCCACCGAACTATTATTTAACTTTATGACTCACTTTATTACTATTAATAGGATACGTTATAACTTTCGACATTTTCGCAATACTTTGTAGCACGGGTCCAGACAGCATAAAGTACATATGTTTTCCTATCCCTCTCTGATTGATGTTTAGATGAAAGTATGAGATGGGTTTCAGTTATACGCAAGTTGTTGAAAACAGTAACAACTTTAACCCAAAGTATAATTTCCATGTATACAAAATTGACGATTTTATAAATATAACTCAATAAACAACGACTTACTCGACTACAACTAACATGCACATTATGAATACGTATCAAATCACCAGGTTTAATGTTGACAATCGGTTCACTAATAGCGTATTCATCATAGATGGAAATTGGGACAGACCAATCACGAAAAGTTTCCATTGGATTAGACGAAAAATTTGAATTCAACATTTTATCTAAATCTTGTTCAGCATATGTTTCGTAATTTTTCACTAAATTTTCATTCCATTGTTGTAAATTGTGTCCTGTTAAGGCAGCAAGATGAGGATCATGCTGAGAATAAGGAAGTAATTGAAGTAAATGATCTTGAGGAAGACCAATAAAAACAGTATTTTGTTTATTACTAGATTGTGGTCCATCCCAGATATATAGAACAATACGATTATCGACTTCCACAGAATTATAAATACTGATAATCTGGAAAAAATAAACATTTTTTGACAAACCGGTTAATTTGTTTGTAACACATAAGCAATAATATTATACATGCATATATAATGACGCAGTATACGAATCCACTTTATACTACAAGCAGTATTATTTATTTATATTTATTTATTTATTTTAACACATAAGTATAGGTACAGGGAGGCACCAAGTACATATGCGCCACACAAATCTCAATTGATTTGTGTGAGGGCTGTGATACTGCCCGGGTGCCCAAACCGAAGTAGGTGGTTTTCTTAGGGGGCCACACCCCGAGCCTTTGACCTGAACGTCTGACCCACAAGGCAGTGGAGCATCGTAAGGAGATGCAGTCCCATGGTAGCCGGTGACCAACGATTGGTTCATACGCCATTTGTTCCTTCAGGATACTGGAGCCCATGTGCACCATTGGTTTAGGGTCCGATTAAAGCGCCGGACATTCGCTTTTCGTCCTCTCATTTTCGTAAACAACACCCGTGGTGCGAGAAGGCAGTGAGTAGGACTTCCCTGGCAGAGGCTATATACGCGTGGCTATGTGAGAGCATTTCGAGAGAGAGAGCGGACTCTCCCCACTCTCGGCCGTACCAGGGCATTTGGGGGCACTATATAATAAACTCCAATCGCGTATGATATGGATGAATACAAATACATTTTACTGAAACACTAATTTTTAAGCTAATGACACTGCCTGTCTACCACTTATATCTCGGTAATAGGACAGTAGTTCAAACCCGCGACCTAATAGCGGAGGAAGGAAATATTCAAATCAATATGACATAATTGTAGTGAAGGGAAGAAATCATAAAGATGCCACTCTGATGTGAACCGGGAAACAAGAAGCCCTGACAAACTACGAAGGCTATTTTTCGGGACGTTATTTCATTTTATTCAAAGCTTGTAAAACACTGACATTTATTTTTGTCCCTAATCTATTCTACAGAACATAAGCTTTCGCTCGATGTATCATTCACTGCCATACCTTTTTCTGTTCCGAAGCTATTGTTATTTAAACATTATTTTGCACCCTATTTTCTACTCTAATTCCCAGCTTTGGACAATTGTATTTTTCCTAATTATTGTACGTTGCGGCCGGGTTATTCACTTATTTATTCATGTACCTTTTTACACTAATCTGAATTCAGTGAGTTCAGTGGTCAAGGAAATAGATCGAGTAGTGTTCCAGTTGTCTTGTCTTCTCTCATTCGTGTGCTTGCCCACCAATCAGGTGACAGAATAGTTTTCTTCTCTCTACCCCATCTCGAACTCACGCGTACTAGTCTCAAGGTTAAGCCGATCAGCCTATCGCATCAAGGTCGAAATCTAGATTAGACAAGTATCCTCGGCACCAAAAAGTGGGTAGACAAATCAAGGTCATAACACACTCTAAGCACTAGAGATATGATGGAGGTGCTTAGACATTCGTCATACCTCAATATGAGGTTGATTAGGTGTATCGATTCGACCAAAAATTTATAAATGGGCAAGAAAGAGCTAATTCTATCAGTTAATAGAAAAATAGGAACACTAAATTTTCCTGGTGAATATCATTATGTATTTTCAACCTGGATAATATCTGTTTTAAAAAATTCGAACGACTGCATGGATTTAAGAAGAGGATTAGGAATAACGTTATATAATTATTGTGATTAGCACAAGAACTTTTAATCAATAATATAGAATAGTGTCAGGGAATTTATCCGGTATATAACAAGAGTTAAGCATTTAGTTTGTGGGTCGACAGACTTTCGATTAGTCGTAAAACATGTTTGCTTTCATCATTAATTTGGGCTTTTAGAGAACATGATCTCATAACTTTGAGTAAGAATCTGAATCGAACTTCTTTTGTGGTGATTAAAGATACAAATAATCAGTCAAATCAATTTACAAATTACAACAAAATAAGTACTTACCTGTCCTTCAATTGTGCAATATTCTTCTCCATTCAAAAGATCAAGTCTTTTTATTCCAGATGTAATAGTTCGGTTTACCTCATTACCAATTTGTTCAGACGAAATTTGTATATTTTCCCTTTCAACTGGACAGTTAGGAGAGATATACCACTCTCTTAGGCGTTCTATCACTCTCAGCTCTTCATCACCAAACTAATGTACCATAAAGAATATTTTTCAGAGATTTTAGAAACACATTGTGAAGGACTGAGTATTTTACTTGGAAAAATTATATCCCTAAAGTGTTGGTCACTGACGAAATATTTGTACAATAACAAAAAGAGCTCGTTCGGTATTTGTTAATATATTATCTAATGCTTTGAAAGAAATTTAAGAAATTTTCAACTGATTTATTGTCGTTGCCCCCAGATTTCTGAAATTGACTAGGAAATTTTTATTGACGCACATATAATAATAGATACATATTTTGTTGTTTAAGTTATACAGAATCACATATTTGTAGGGACAACTGTAAGGAGAAAACAATGAACACACAACAGCCTCAAGGCTCTATTCATTAGTGTTCTTGAAACAAACACAAGTAAAATATCTCGGCAGAATAGACCAGCTTTGTCATAACTGTATATATTATATATTTCAAGTGTTTTGATGGAAGTATAGATTCAATAAAATTCTCTAAATAAATATTGAAAAGGTGATTATCTGACTGGTGCCAATGAATATTTAGGAATAAGACCTGACTGTTAGACCTAATATTTGGGTATTGCATCAAAATCATGAATAAGGCTGACAAACAGTCAACAAGACTGCACTACAGACACTATTATCAAGTCGATAAGCATTTAGCAAAAACTACGAGTGGGGGCGATGCGTTACATTCATGTGATTTACTAAAAGTCTTTCTCAAGAATATTTTCTTTGCCTATCTTGAATCACGCACTTTTTATTGGTCAGTTGAATGAGCGAAGTGAAATTAACTTAAGTACATACTCAACTAATTCGGTGTAAAAGTAAAAATAAAAATGAAATATTAGGTATAAGCTCCCACTGTTTATCGTTAACTTCTATATATTTATAAATAGTAAAATAAATGAAAGATATTTTAGCAGTCCATTGTCGACTCCGGTTTTATATTTATGTGTTCTATATTTAATTTCGTAATTAATCGCAGGTACATCGCGTTAGTACAAGGGTGAGTCAAAAGTTCGAAATGTTACCAGGATATGTTTACTTCATGCATTCTCACTATAAGCAGACAATCATGTAAAAGAAAGACAAACAAATGCAGAAACAAGTTGGCACACTAGTCAACTCAAAATGCTAATCATTATAAGGGTTAATTAACTCAAAATAGTACCAGAAGACAGATATTGGATAAGATACAAACACACACAAAAGCACATAAGACGTAAGAGTATAGAATTACAAGGACACAAATATAAAAGGCATACACGCACAAAAAGTCATAATCGCCCATGAACAGAACAGTCATCAGAATGATAAAAATGACTTAATAGTCAAATGTCCTCTAAGTCAAGAAAGTCTACTCAAATGACAGAAATCACATAGGCACGTAATAACAAAGAAACTACTACAACATAAACGGTTGCATTAAAGTAGTGTCGATATTTGAAAAGGAATCATTTATAGATAAAAAGGGAGGAGCATGATTATAATGGGTCACTTCTTGCTAATTATCAACATATAACAATTCAATCCAAAAATTTCCATCACATATTTATTTTAACTAGTGTTTTTCATTGAAGGAAAGACGAGGAAAATACGGTAAATTAATTGTATTCTATTGGATTTATTTTTACCTTGCTAAAGTTAATAAATGGGAATTAGTTTGCATGAAATTCCCTGTTTGTTAAAAACGTAGCGAAATTTTCATTCATCTCATCCTGAACAGTGAATTTTAGAGACAGAAATAGTTCAAAGGAGAATGTCGTTAAAACCGCAGACATCTTTTTGATCTTCGCGATGTCATTTCTGATTATAAGTTTAATGTCTTTACGAAACTAGATATACCACAAAAAAACATCGAAGACTCTTAAGAAAACGTTATTCATACAATTATTTCAGACCGGAATGTAACCATAAACATTGGCCTTTGAGGATTTTAGACTAATCAAGAAATAACCAAAATACAATCTACCCTCAACTTTTTTAAAACGTATATGAGACAAAGGATTAGTAGTTAAGTTGAAACGAACTGAAAGAAATAAGTGACCTTAGCGAACAATATGCTGAGCGTGGCCCTCTAAGAAAACTACCTGCTCCGGTCTGGGAACCCGGGCAGTATCTCAGCCCACAACAAAAACATGATGAACTACCGACTTATGGAAAATATTCTCCTCGCTCCGATTAACAATGAAATGACTCGCATTATTATTATTATTATTTTACCACGTCATTTACTAAGTCTCTTTTATCCCTACTCTGTCCATCCTTATTTTTCGACTTATACAGCAGCTCGCCTATGGTGGAAATTCGGCTCTATCTAAACGTTCTCGAGTCACTGCCTGGTTGAAAATTGTATGTTACCACCGAATACGAGTACTGAAGCAGTTTTTCTGAAACCACGTGCACCATTCAAACTGGCTGCCTTCAACGTTCGCACACTTATGCAGGTCGGACAACAGATAGGGCTGGCTATGTCTTTGGAAAGTCTTAATATTGACGTATGTTGTCTAACCGAGACCTGTATTCAAAACTCTGATGAAGTACTACAAATTCGCTCTCCATCTGTCGCTTCAAAAAGCTTTTTTTATGTGCGTTTATCCCAGGACCCTGTGGCATCTTCGTCTGGTCTTGCTGGCGTTGGTGTCGCACTAAGCGCTAGAGCTGAGGCAGCACTAGTCGACTGGATCCCCATTAACAGTCGGTTATGTGCTGTTAGATTAGATAGTTCCATCAAAGTGAGAAGAAATCGGCGTGAGAAACGATGTCTTTTCGTCATCTCCGCCTATGCCCCGACAGATTGCAGCCCGGATGCAATCAAGGATGAGTTCTACCACCAGTTAACTGTTCTCCTCCAGAAAGTGCGCTCGACAGATATTGTAGTACTAGCTGGAGACCTGAATGCTCAGGTCGGGCGTCTAGGCACAGAAGAGAGTCGTTTAGGTGGCCGATGGGGACTCGTTGGTCGCAGGACAGATAACGGGGAACGTCTACTGCAGCTATGCACAGACCACAACCTGTTTCTGGCTAGCACTAACTTTCGGCATAGTCATCGCCGATGTGCCACCTGACGTCCTCCTTCTGCATCTCAAGCCTGGATACAGATTGATCACATCGCGATCAGCTACCGCTGACGTGGTTGTGTACAAGACTGCCTCTCCTTTTGGAGTACCTATCCGGAACCTGATCATGCTCTGGTCTGCGCCAATTTCACCTTACTTTTCAGTGGCCAACGAAGTGACCGCCATCAAATGATTGATAGCAGCAAGTTGGTTGCAACTTCTGTTGCTAGTAAGTATCGAACCGAGCTAGCTTTTAGGCCAGCTACAATTCCACCGAAAAGCATAGATGAGCATTGGCTGCAATTGCATGACGCCATGAAAATGGCGGGTCAAGTCTGTTGTGGGTTCGCGAAACGTTCCGCTTACAAGCACTGGGTTTCTTCTGGTTCCTTACAACTGATTGAAGCCCATCCGTCTACTCCGGGTGACCGTGAGTTTGACCACAGACGAAGGATGTTACGTAATGAAATCGGGCAAAGCTTGCGTAAGGACCGAGAAGCCTGGTGGTCGGAGCGTGCCAGTGAGTTGGAAGCAGCAGTTGCATCCGGTAATTACCGGAAGCTCTTCCAACTCATCTGAGCCACTGGCAGCAAGAAGTCTGGTGTGAGTGAAACAATCTGCGAGGATGACGGAATGCCAATCACTAAGATCCATCGACGTCTTGGACGATGGGCAGAATTTTTCGAAGGGCAGTTCAACTGGCCTGCTGCTCCGACAACATCGGTCAGACCGTCCTGCCCTCCATGGCCGGGGACGACTGATTCACCAAATGAGGCGGAAGTCCGCAAGGATCTCCAACTCTTGAAACGTTACAAACCACTGGGCCCAGACGACTTACCTCCGGCTCTTTTTAAAGATGGTGGTGACTTTCTGACTAAGGGACTGACGGCGTTGTTTACAAATGTCTGGGAACTAGAGAGTGTACCAACGTCATGGAATGAGTCGATAGTTGTCCCTATCTTTAAAAAGGGTTCACGTCGTTCATGTAACAACTATCGGGGGATAAGTCTACTTCCGATTGCGTCCAAGCTATTGGCTTCCGTCATACTTCGTAGGTTGTTCAAAACCCGAAAAGGATTGACTCGCGAGGAGCAGGCTGGTTTTCGTTCTGGTCGAGGATGTATTAATCACATCTTCACCCTCCGCCAAGTGTTAGAACACCGCCATACTTATCACAGACCAACAATCGTAGTGTTTCTTGATATCAGGGTTGACTTCGATTCGTTGGACAGAACTGTTCTCTGGGATTGTCTATTGAAGAAGGGTGTGTCTGAGAAGTTTGTTAACATCGTAAAAGCCTTATACACACCTCAGGAAGAGTCAGGGCATACAACCACCTTTCTCCATTGTTCTATTCAAGCAGTGGAGTTAAGCAGGGTTGCCCAATCTCACCATTCCTCTTCAACTTTGCCATCGATGACATTCTGGAAACAGCTCTGATGGATGTAAGTATTGGTGGTGTGGATCTGTTGCATGGAGAAAGACTTCTCGACCTTGAATATGCGGATGTTGTCTTACTGTGCGAGAATGTCCAAGCCATGCGATCCGCACTTAATCAGTTGGCAATCAACGTCCGTAGGTATGGTATGTGCTTTGCACCTTCGAAGTGCAAAGTACTTCTACAAGACTGGCAGGATTCTAATCTTGTACTCACTCTGGATGGATTGCCCCCAAATGCCCTGGTATGGCCGAGAGTGGAGTGGGTTCGCCCTTCCTCTCGAAATATTCTCACATGGCCACGCGTATACAGTCTCTGCCAGGGAAGTCCTACTCACTGCCTTCTCGCACCACGGGTGTTGTTTACGAAAATGAGAGGACGAAAAGCGAATGTCCGGCGCTTTAATCGGACCCTAAACCAATGGTGCACATGGGCTCCAGTATCCTGAAGGAACAAATGGCGTATGAACCAATCGTTGGTCACCGGCTACCATGGGACTGCATCTCCTTACGATGCTCCACTGCCTTGTGGGTCAGACGTTCAGGTCAAAGGCTCGGGGTGTGGCCCCCTAAGAAAACCACCTACTTCGGTTTGGGCACCCGGGCGGTATCTCAGCCCACACACAAAAACATGATGTAGTGTGGCGCATATATATTTGGTGCCCCTTGTAACAATATTTATGTGTTCAAATAAATAAATAAATCGGGATGGTGAACAGATAGAAGTAGTCGAGAAGTTCGTGTATCTAGGTAGCTGCATAAGTGTTGGTGGTGCCGTGAGTGATGAGATCAATGCACGTATAGTGAAAGCCAGAGCGGCTTATACCAATCTGGGCCATCTTTGGCGCCTTCGTGATGTCAGTCTGTCTGTGAAAGGTCGGATCTACAACGCAACGGTGAGATCAGTTTTGCTCTATGACTGTGAAACCTAGCCTCTCCGAGTTGAGGATGTTAGACGACTCTCTGTGTTTGATCATCGTTATCTCCGAAGGATTGCTGACATCCAGTGGCAAACCATGTTAGTAATGCAGAGGTTCGACATCGTGTGTTCGGTCACAGAGACGACAATGCGATTAGTGTCAACATCTTGAAACACCGACTTCGGTGGCTTGGACATGTTCTACGAATATCGTCCCAGAGAATTCCTCGTTGTGCATTGTTTGCCGACGCTGGGACTGGTTGGAAAAAGCGGAGAGGTGGTCAGTATATGACATGGTGTCGTGGTATGAAAGAAAGCTGCAAAGGGCTGGCTTCTGTTGGTCCTTCACGACTCCCTGGCTGGGGTCCGAGAGACGGTGTAACGCAGTGGCTAGAGACGTTATCAGATATGGCTCAGAATAGAAGCCAGTGGCGATCCTGCTGTAACCTTCTTTTACTTTCTTCGTAAAAAGCGGTTGGTTCTTCCTTAACTAAGAGATTTCTTCGGATTGTATCTTTTCGTTACCCCATTATTACTACTATTACATTACCTTACACTAATCTGGTCGTTATTGTTCTTTTTTTCTTATAATTCCCTACGTTCCTAACCTTTTTTCCCTTCTCTTTAAATTCTCATTGTTTTGTGTGGCACATATATATTTGGTGCCCACTTGTACCAATATTTATGTGTTCAAATAAATAAATTAATAAAAAAGATAACTAACTCTCTAGGCCTTAACATTTTATTATCATAAAGATGAGAGGATATCATATAGGTAAGCCGAAAAGAGCCTTGAAACTGTTCACTACAAAGAGCTGAGGTGGGTGGGTGAGAGGACGTTTGATAGGAATATAGAATTACAAACTTCTCCAAAAGTTACTGCCGGTCTCAAATCACACATAAACGGGAGTTGGGTGTGTGGTTAGAAACCTCACAACATAAAAAACAGCCTTGCTAAAAACAAGTTACCAGAAAAAAATAACGTCATAGGTTAGGTCCAACTTTTTACAAAACACTATGTTACTATTCATCTGTCACATCTTTTTCATTCACATTTTTCACTTAACTTAATGGTAGGAAGATAAGAACAATATCTTACTCAACCTTCGCCGGATGTCATCAATAAAAGGATATCGGAGTGTTTCAAAAAGTTATATATATCTGATACTTTTATAAACTTTCCTTTCTGCTGGATTACTGAGTTATTTTTAAATGAACTAATAGAAATAATGAGCGTTGTTATTTATCGGTAACTTAATTACATGCTGAAAATAAACTATCTTTAACGCTTCCATACGTCCATTTTCCAGATTATCGATTAAATTTGGAACAAAAAAATTAAGCAGGGGACACATATAAGTAGTGAGTGTCAACGATTTCGAGAGAATTCATGTTATCTCAAAGACTTCACTTAGTCATCTACAAACTAGGACTACACAAATAAATGCATCGGTCCAGGTTGCCACACCTTATTAGCACAAGATGAACACCAAATTTATAGAAGCAGTTACTTCAATAGTAGTTATATATATATATATATATATATATATATATATATATATATATATATATATATATATATATATATATATATATATATATATATATATATATATATATACAAAGATCGCATATATGGATATGTATTATTTATTTATTTAAACACATTGGTACAGGGAAGCACCCAATACATATGCGCCACAAATCGTTTCGGCTTTCTTTTACATTTCTATTTCTAAAGAGATAGATATTAAAATATCGGACAGTAGAGAAATCCTTTGAATACTTTTTAAATTTTCCAATAATTGACAATGTTCAGCCTAAAGTTCAATGAAAATCAATAACTATCGCCTTCACTTGTAATCAAGATTTCTGTCAGTTTAAGACTATATCCCTGCAACCCATTGAATGATAAGTACTTACTTATCAAACAAAAGTTAACAATAAACACCTCATTATTGGTATAGACTCTCTAAAAGAAACTATAAGAGTGTGCACTGATGGTGTTGTTTAGGGAAGCAATAAAAGGCTTTTTAAATAAATCGTTTAGGAAAGACAATAAGACCAATAAAATCATCCACCTACGCTACAAATCTATATTGTTTCAGGAACAGAATGTATACACAATTTCCTTGAAAAGATACTTGTTTGTGCATAACACGTAACCAGCAAACCACACTTTAGACTACTTATGAATATCCGTAATATACCAACTTCCAATGACTCACTCACATATCATTCACTTTCTATGTCCTTATCAATCTGTAACATTAATAAAAAAAACTATTGTATACAAATCGATAATGTTCACTTACAAATAAAATTAACTCACAGTGCATCGAGTGTTTGATTTAAAAGGAGTCAATGGATCCAAATGAACACCTGAAAATACAGCTGCACTGAAACCTGTTGCACCATAACCGCAGCCTTGGTTTCGACCATTATATTGTTTTATCACAAGTCTATGCATAATAATAATATCTCCAGGACTTTGAATCTAAGATAAAAGTTTAAACTCAAAAAAATAAGTGAAGGACTTTAGCAATATATAAAAATTATATGATGTGTAGTTGATGTGATCGATTTGACTGATACGAAAATGGAAAACCAACTGAGATGAAAAAACACGAATGAATAGCGAATACGATTCCGTCCACCGGTACTTTATTTCTCATTGGGCTGAGAGGAAACCAGGAGACAACATTTGGTTAGACTAAATAATTATTTATCAAAAATGAAACTCGCTAATATACGTTTTCAACTAACCAAAAATTACAATCGAAAATGGTCAAACTACGTAAACTGGTTGGTCTAACAGAACGAACTATCAAATAAGATTATTCAGACTATGTTGCGACATGATTTAAGACCTGATGTCATGAACCCGACCGTTGCTGCTACCTTGATGTGGTAGTCGGGCTGGCCTATCGTAATGAACCAATCGAGCTATATTGGCTGGAACAATCGTTCCTAAAGGTCCTACCATGCCAGACAGTTCGTTTGAAGAGTGGTAAGACTAAAAGCAGAAAACCCAAAGACAGAGGGTTAAGTCGTATTGCTAATGTACAGAGGTGTGACGGCAGCATAACAGAGATGCTGCCTTCCTACAAGGAAGAGCGGGGTTGTAAAAGGTTGACCCTAAAAATGCACACCTCGCCTTATACTACGGATTTCCATCTCCGGCAGTAAGATCCCAACAAGTACAGAGCTAACACGAAAATTGCTCACAAAAAGGTCATGTGTGACCGACCTCAAGCAGTTGTCCCTTGGGCACTGTGGTCATGCTCTCAGGTCACTAAGACTATTTCTAACCTAATTTCCTTTTCAGACAACTCCAGAAAAACCCTTCCATGGTGTGGGCAACCGGGAAGTGACCCCCACCCGCATACCTCCAGCAACACTTAAAATCAGTCTATTCATAATCAATCCCTTTCTTCAATCCTTATTATTCCCCCTATCTCGACTTTCAACCCTAAACTTCCTCTTTTGGCTCCCTCCTCAAGTGTCACCATGGCCAAAGATTCTAGTGCACGAAACACTGTCACAGGTCTAGTGAAACCTCGCTCCAAACTACACATTGGAGCCTTCAACGTACGCACCCTGTCTCAAATCGGCCAGTAGGCCTCCTTGGTTAAAACCCTAGAATCTCGTACCATTGATGTATGCTGTGTCTCCGAAACACACAGGATATTAGTGTGATAATTCACTCGACCTCACCTCACCAAAGCGGGAAGCTGATGTGACACGCCCTCCGTTTATATGGCGACCCGATGTCTAGTTCTTGTGAACTGGCTGATGTAGTCATAGCACTGAGTACGAGGGCAGAACAAGCACTATTAGAATGGACCCCCGTTAACAGTCGCCTATTTGCTGTTCGGCTAAATGGATCCGTAAGAACTCGGAAGGATAAGGACATATGTTATCTTTCCACCATTTCTACCTACGCTCCCACTGACTGCAGCCCGAATAAAGTGAAAGATGACTTTTACATGAAGCTTCCTGAACTTCTTCAAAAAGCTAAACACTCAGATATAGCGCTCGTAGCAGGTGACTTTAATGCCAAAGTAGGTAGCTTAAACCAAACAGAAAGATATTTAAGTAGGTATTTTGATATTTCGGCTCAACAAACAGATAATGGTGACTGTCTGCTGCAACTGTGTTCAATCGTTTAATTTTAGCAAGCATTAATTTTAAGCATAAGGACAGACATAATACAATATGGCGACTCCCTGCACCAAACCAACGATGGACTCAAATAGATCATATTGCTTTATATTTTTCTCTATACGAACTAATTCTTTCTTCCTGCACTATATCCGTATGCACAATCTTTTATATATTACTACCATTGAAGTAACTACTTATATGAATCCGGTGTTCAGCTTGCTGTGCTAATGAGGTGCGGCAACTTGGACCCATGCATATATGTGCCTGGTCCTACGATGTAGCTGACTAACTGATGTGAATATATTCCTGCCCAATAGGCAGGCAGCCCAAAAATGTTGATAATTTACTGATCTACTTTCTACCATCCCTGCTTGATAAATTTATATGACTTTTAGTCTGAGTCTATTTGAAGAGCTTTTAGTTCCCTTTTTTGCCTTGCTGACTTGACAGGAATCTGCTATCGCTTATGTGCCTATTTTGCTGTGGGTGTAGTATTTATAAAAACTAAATATTGATTTTTGGTATTTTCATTGGTTTTTCTATGTAATCTCACTAATGATTTGTGTGTTGACGCTAATTTTGAGAATCTACATCTTGATGCGCCATTATTCCCCTAATTATTCAAGTTGGAGCTTTATGAAAAATACTGCTAACATGTACCCAATGGTTTATTATAAATATGTTAGGTTTCCACAAATAATGATGATTGCACTGTTTTTTCATTCCACTATTCAGTGAAGAGATAAAGTTGTAAAGTATGTAGAAACGACTGCTGGTGTAATTTGATATAACTTCCTTATGTCAGTCCGTCTTTTAGCATGCCAAGTCTGGTTATTTTCCACCCCAAATGCCTTGATACGGTAGAGGGAGGGGAGAGTCCGCCCTACCTTTCAAGGATCTTTCATATGGTCGCGCGTTTGTAGCCACTGTCAGGGAAGTCCCACTCTATCTTCATGTGGTAAGGTGCTGTTTACAAAAGTAAGATGACGAAAAGTGGATGTCCAGAGCTTCGAATACACTAGTAGATACAAAGGATCTCTCTATTGGAGTTGGAAAATCCTAATTTTAAACCAGCAATAAACAGAGGTTCTAGGAACCTGAGGGGTTCAATGGTGTATGGACCTACGTCTGGTCATTGGCTAGTATGAGATTGGATCCCCTGGCTTCTCTATGTTGTCTTGTGGATTACTTTTCTATGTGATACGTTTGAGGAGTGTTCCCTCAAATAAACAACATTCTTCGGTCTGGAGGCCTGGACAGTTTTTCGGGTCAGTACAACTTTATGACGATTACAAATGAAAATACTTCCAATTTTCTTTGTATTATTTTAAACCATATTCATAAATATCCAGTTTTACTTTTTTATTTTACACCGAGCCACTTATTTATCCCTCTTAACCTACGTTTATGTGTACTATAAAAATACTCGGCATTTGTATGGAGTATTTTTATTTTGGTACCCCTTTGTAATAGTATTTATGTGTTAAACATAATAAAAAACATTCTGATTATTTATTAAGTCAACTGTAAACTGTGTTAACGTGATTTTACCGACTGATAGCAAGATAAGTGATTTGGTGACGACGAATTCTTAGTTGTTATGTGAAGCAACAAATTATTATTTGAAATTCGTCTACCAGGCTATCCAATTAGATATATTAACAAATCTCAGCCCAAGATTTTGACAGAATATCATATGGAAGAGCCCAAATATTAATAATGCCGAATTCAGCATCAAAGTTTAAGCGAGATATGGTAAGTGGTGTGTCACTCTCAAAGGCTCGAGTTCAAAGTATACCATAGGTGTAAAATAACTGACAGTCAAAATATTATAAAACCAGAAAAATGTCAGCACTATGTTTGCAAGCAATCAATTTTATTCTCTTAATCCCAGAATAGGATAAGTGATGTCACAGGATATATTTGGAGAAACAAGCTAGAACTACTGATCGATCAGAAAATAACAAACTCGTTTTTAAGTTATATTCATTGACATTGCTAATAAAATGGTACGAAAATCTAGTAATAACTGATGAGGTTAAGGTAGGAATGAAAAGTTGCAGAATAAGATGCGGAAGGTATATTCGTAGAGTAATTAGTAATCGTATAATGAAGTGATAATCAGTCTTTGTTGGCCGACAGATGTAACGATATGTATACTAATTAGTCGCAAATCTGGTGATATTATTTGTTCTATTGATTGGCAGAGCTAAAACTTTGCACTCTCAAGTAGGCTGATACCGAGTCTTTTTTGAAAAAAGATACATCAAACAAATTGTCATTTATCTGAAGAAAAGTTTTCAACGACATAAAATGAACTGTACCTGAGGTAAATTCCCTTCTGCATCATGGAAAACGATGCATGACATTTTATCACCGTTTAAAGAAGGATCAGTGATTGAAAAAAATAGTGAGTACGAAGAACCTTTGGTTTTTTTCGGTTTCTTAACATGTTTAACAATGGCGATGACATTAACACTGCCAGATGCACTTTTCAGGTCCACATATTTATATCTCGACATGCTTCAATTGTTGTTATCCAGAAACGATTGTTTTTATACTGATTGAAAGTATTCCTTTATATGAAGTCAACAGAACATTGAGTTTCTGTAGTTGGTTATAAACTAATGTGTGAAATTCATTCATAAACTGACTTATTTGACCAGTGCTAACAAAACAAATAAAAGGATGAAATAAAAAAACTAACGTCGGTACCATTAAATAAGTAAAACACTAAACAGAACAACAGAGACACAACCAATAAGTTGTATTTGCTGAACTTTTGATCAATTAACTACAAGTTGTTATCGCTTATTTATAACCAAAGCATACTAATGCAATCGAATATGACAAATTTACGTTCAACTGGGAAAATATAGTCTTGAGGTGAAAAACAGGGATTCATATCTAGATAGTTAAGAGGTCACATTTGAAAGAAGTAACAATTATAAGTTGCCATATTGTTCAGTGAATCGTAACCAATTATGGTTACTCTGAAAGATCACCCCGAAACCTTTAGCTATATAGCCTAATGTAAATGAGAGCAAATCATATCTATCTATATAACACCCATATTGATTTTGCAAGACCTCTGGAATAAATAAAACTAATGAAAACTATGTGTACGTTGATAATTTGCACTGAGGTGAAACTGTTATCTCAGGGTTTACTGTTACTAAGCAATTAACAGATCTTGTTGCACGATTGATTGGTTTTTTGCACATAAGCTTTGGTCAACACATAACACCTTGAATTAAAATTCCTTAAAGAAATGATTTAATATAATTATATACTCAAACTTCAATGGGGTTACTAGTTTTCAAGTATGGTGTATTTTTATTCCAGGATGGCAAGTTTAGAAGCGTTAGTTACTCGGAAAAATGAACTAAATCTTCTAACCTTCACTAAAGCAGCATCTTAAGTAACTCAAGCAGTTTATTGGGTTTCTAAAACTGCTCAACAATAATCCAGTTTCATTGAAAGTGTTAATATTATCCTTTTCTTACATTTCCACTATTTTTTGCAAACAAAATTGTTTATTCACCTACTAAATGTAAGATTCATCCCATTAAAGTCTGTCAGTTTTACTTCAAAAGACTAAGAATACGGATGTTTATGCTGGACTCCAAAATCTAAGTAGGAGCTGAGATAGGCAGAGTATTATCTTGGTGCTTTTCCAAGAATTTTGTGTCAATGAGGCAGTAATGGTGACTTTTCTAAGATTCAGTCTCAACAACTTGTTTTTAGCCAATACAATCTCAAATGTTAAGATAAATACACCCTACTTTGACTCAACAGTATACCCTGGCAAATTATATATATATATATATATATATATATATATATATATATATATATATATATATATATATATATATATATATATATAATATCGCTAAAGATAAACATGAAAATTTCTACTTTTCCTACAGTAGCCGTTTGCATTCCAACCACTTTAAATAAGGAAAATTTAAGGAGCTTGAATATCTCTAGAGTTGATTCGAAAGTGAGTATCAAGTATGTATTTCAGGTGAAGTAAGCTAAATATCTGACGAAATATTAGAAGTAGTCTCATTGTAGTTTGGCAAGGTGGTGTTTAGTTCATGGTTTGAAATTTTAAAAGCAATTGGTTATCAACAATTAAATGTCAATAAAACTCAACGCTCATGCATCCCAGTCTAACTCAATAGCTGTATGAATACTCATTACAATTGGGTTTAAGCAAGTAGATAGACATTTCTTGTTAGTCACGAGCAGTGTTAGGTATCGAAAGCAAGAGGGGTGGAGGAAGTGTTGGTTTTATGCAATTGTTGAATGCTGTTTAGCTGCCTGACATACATTAAGTGATGGAGAAAAATAGAGTTCCGCTACGTTCAATTGTATATTGTCAAAAAACAGCACAGCCACAATAACTAGCACCGTAATGGAATTAATCTGGTACGTCGACAAAACAGTAAGAATAGCGCACCTGAGGTGGCGCTTTCGTATAAAAGGTTTAAGCGTTGAAACTAGACTTAGCTATAAATACATCTCTATATATTGTCAAAATAATGAACCAAAAGATAAAGAAGCTAAAGATTTAGATGACAATAATGCTGTGTGTGTATTCAAGCTTTCTCGGATGGCAATTTTTTTATTTATTTTATTTTAACACATAGATATTGGTAAAAAGAGGCACCAAATACATATGCGCCACACAAATCTCATCTGGTATATGTGAGGGCTGCGATACTGCCCGGGTGCTCAAACCGATGGCAATATCGAGTTAACTTTTATTCCAAATCTGTATCTGTTTACCGAATCTAAAGTGACAAGAGCGAATAAGCCCAATCTCCAGGTCTTGAAGTTTTCCCCAAAGTCATATGAAAATTCGTAGTCTTCCTCAAAACAATTTGAGATTTTGAGGAAAAACCCCAGACCAGCTGGTCTGGGGACTTTTGGAGTTCTCGTCACATTTCCCTGAAATTTTATGTTGTGACTTCCCCAAGACTGGTAAAATTTCCCCCAAAATCGGGAGATTGGGCTACACACTTCCACTAGAGGAGACTAGGTAAGGAAAAATGTAACACCATCAGTGCTACCCAGTAGACCTACCAACTGCTCCCCATAGATAACGGGATAGGTCAAAACAACTGTAGCAAGAAAAAGGTTTTATGAGCTGCTCATTTTAGTGAATGTAAAGCTTTACAAATAACCTCCAGAGAGTTTTGATGACCGAAGAAACAGTTTCCACCTCTAGCCAATAGGAACGCAACCGACACAGGCAACGATTCAGGGGTATCGTCCACTGATGGAGGTTGCGAGCACTTGAAGGTCAACTGTCTCAAGATGATTGGTGCGTCACATCGACAATTCGTGAAGTTTTTCAGAGGCGGTCAAATCAAGACAATTTTAGATTTGAATTGAGTTGGGCCACACCATATTTGATAACGTCCATCCTTCAAGTAACGAAGATGATGCCATCGTGATGATTCATGATATAGGACGAATCTTCAATTGTAATAGAGAAGGGAAAAACGATAAATGTTATTATGGTATCGTTACTTGTAGCGCAGTTTTGGTAGCCTTGACGACAATACAATTTTTATGACAATATATGCTTAGATAATGTCATTTCATATGAAGATAAATGATTTGTTTGCTCTGAGTGTATAGTTAGGTAGAAATAATTGCCAGTCTGCGATGCAAATACGAAAAAACTATTATTTTCGCACCTGATTAATGAATTTTCAAGGACTTCGCAATACCATGTACCGCAAAATTGAAAAACCCCTTATGAAGACGGAAAATGAATTTTCGAATTTAATTATAATGAATTTCAAACTTTGGCTGTGCACAAAGCAGAAATGAAGAAGTAGCGTAAAAAGTGTCGCGATACCCCTGGAGCGCTGCCACCGACACAGAACGATTCAGTTTGCTATTTGCGCCATCTGAAACCAACATCTTTGTGATGAGCTCAAATAATTTGATATATTACCAACCTCCATCTTCTGGTTGTTCCGGTACGGTTTAACACCTTCGATATTGTCTCATGGGCTGTTATATAGCCACTCAACTGCATCAGTCCTAATCATTTTGGTAGTCATTTATAAGTTTGTATATCTTTTAAACGGAGTGAGTGCATTTGTCTCAGGGGAGTAGAGTCTCTGAAACAAGGATCTGTAGTGACCTACTTTTGTCAACAGCACGTGATTGGTTCGGTGAAAACAATTATTATTATAACCAATTTTACCAGTGATTGTTTTACTGTGCTCGTTTTTTTAACCTTGTTAATAACAGCCATGTTGGCCTTCCACTGGACTCCATTACTTCTGCGCGGTTTTCGACTCTACGCATGTACTTTCTCCTGCCGATCCCACTTGTACTCCTTAGGCACGATCTCGGTATTTGTCGATACCACGAGGTCGCCAACAAATACATCTCGACTACAGCCATCATCTGCCTTCTGATATTGGCCTACGGGGATCTTATTGGTTAATTGGCACGTAGTCTTCTTTTAGTGGTGTTCGTAGTCAATAGCGACTCGACTCCACGCTACAGATCCATCACACAACCATGAATGAAGTTACAAATCACAATGCGAAAAATAAGGAATGTAAAATCTTAATGGTCAGAAGAAACGATTTTTTCGAGAAGTACATAAATTAGTTAATTAGCGATCCAGACAATGTCAACAGACTAGAGCGTAGGAACTTAGAAGAAAGTGAAATGGTCATAAGCAAGAAGTTAATGGGTCAGTATGTGATAATAATAATAGATAGATAGAAACATACATCAGGTTCAGCTAATCCAAGATGAAAATTCTTAATGGGCCTCTATATCTTGAAATCGTCAGTGTATATGAGTTTATGAGTCAATTTTGTCTAGGACGTCATTAACGAAAATCAGGAAGAGTGGTGGACCTAAGACAGTTCTTCGTGAGATTCTTAATGTAAACACGTTCCAACTCATAAGAACTCTATGCACCTTAGTGAAGAATATTCGGTTCTCCAGGTAATTTCGAGGCCAGAATAAAGGTGAGTAAATGAAACACATCCTCACAACCTTCATTATGAGGAGTGCGTGTGACACTCAAACGCTTTTTAGAAGTCGAGGGATATTACATGGACCAGGAGCTTCTGAACCCAGAAAGCTCTTCAGCTGCCCCATGATACAAGAAGATTAGATGAACAATGCCTTCCCTTTCTTAACACTTTCGCCCTGTATTCCCTCATTTGGTCATTGAACTGTCCTTCCATTACCTTCGATAGTATTTGAGGTAATGCGACTGGTGTGCAGTGTGTTGGGTCTTTCCTCCCTACTTCTCAGGAAATCGGGAAGACAGTGACCAATTTCCATCTTTTTGGAAGCTACTGTGACTCTAATGAGTTCATGAACAGGTCATATACCATTTCGTACCATAAAGATCACACAATTTTTCATTCCTAAACAATGCACACATACATACACACACAAATTTACATACACATCTCTCATGAATCACCCTGACAAAAAATGACATGACATCAACTTGTTCAGACCT